CAGGTAGGACAGGGTGTCTCAGGTAGGAGGACAGGGTGTCTCAGGTAGGACAGGGTGTCTCAGGTAGGACAGGGTGTCTCAGGTAGGAGGACAGGGTGTCTCAGGTAATAGATGAAGGGGATGGGCAGGTGTGAAGGAAATATAAAATGTTATTTTGAGTACATTCTAGTCAGCTGTGTGAACTTAATGAAATAAATTACTTATCTAAAGACATAATCTACAGCATGATTAATTTATTTTGACCAGTATAAAAGTGATGGGCTTATTTAAATTTAACTTTAATCTGTAGGAAGTGGTAGAAATTGGTTTTCATAATTTGGAATTTCCCAGTTAAATAAAGGTCAGTAAATAAATTTGTCAATCCATCCATCATTAGCTTTCTAATCAGTTCTAAATATCCACATATCGATCTTATAAATAAATGTGAAAACCTTCTCTAAGCTTGTTTGGGATAATTTGTCACATTAATTTAATTATTTGAGGTATAACTGAGTTTAAAAACAGGACGATGCAACTAGTTAATGAAGAATCTGTCTCCAGTCATTAAATCAGGTGTTTATTTATGTAGGTAAAAGTATCTTTAACATCCTGTTAAAATACACTAGAAATCAAGAAATAGCTTCTAATTTATTAAAAATTTTCTGGGGGAGGACACCCAGACCCCCCCTCCAGTGTGTCTTTTACTATTATAAAACTTCTTATGTGAGAGAATAAACCAACACACCTGTGCTGCACCTGTGTGTCTCTGTTTGAAACTATGGTTGGTTATCAAACTGTGTTCTTAGTGAGTTTAAAGGGCTGGTACAGTACATGGTTGAATGAAGGTGAACATAATTTCAGTCAGTATGGTTTGACTATTATTGCATCACAACAGAAACATTTGGTGTTCAGTTGTTGACAAGTGCAGACAGTTAAACTGAGCACACACTGAAGACATGAACAACAGAAAAACCTGTTCGCACAACTGTGGGAGCGTCAGACCACTTCCCCCACGGTGCGTCCCCACCAACTTTCAGCACAAAGTTAGGCCCTTGAATACCCTGTTTATTAATTTTACTTTATATACAATGTCCACTTTTTGATAAACTAGTTAACAATTAAGAAGAAAGCTTTTGCCACAGTTTAAGAATACTTCAGAATAAATAAGACGTTCAGTTGTTTGGACATTTTTTTGTGCCGTCACACCACAGGTGAGCTCATAACACTTCTATTTGAATAAAGACTTAACAGAGACACTATTTCAACAAGCTTTAACAGATTTGAATTTGTTGATCATGTTTTTTAAGTAATCTCTTGAGGGCTAGATAAGGAGGAAGGAATTAAGACAGCCCAGATGGAGTTTTAAACCCTCTGGGCTGATGAGTGTTGGAGTTTAAATCATTTGGGACAGACTCGATCCATCTCATTCACTTGTTTTGGCTTGCTCTGCATTATCTGTTTTTTTTTTTTTCTTATTACACCCTTTTGTTTTGCCGGACAGTCCCCTCTTCTCTTGTTATTCTTAGGATTGAATTCCTCTGGCCCTTGTCACTGTAGTAACTCTTGTGCTCAGGGGTTTCAGACACGCTGCTCAGTAGTGCACTCTACTCGAAACACAGACAGGAGATCCCGTGGTGCCAATAATGAGCTGAGCCACATCTTTATGAAGACGATAATAAACATTAAGAATTGAATTTGCTCATGCTGCTTTGTCATATCTGGGCTGGCCTTTTGAAAGCAGTAGATTTTCTCAGAAAAACAAAAATACACTATTTGATACAGTATGTGTGTGTTGGTCTCTCTGTTGTGCACTGAATGTGTTGTTTCCATTCAGGAGCTCAGGTCTAGTAGTGACTCATTGATGGTCAGTGACCAGTCCCTCTAATGTTTCTGTCTGTGTCTACTCTTATACACACTCCATCACTCTCTTCCTTCTGTCTGGCATTCTCTGACCATCTAATGTCAAAACATTTCCACGTCATTTAGGATATTTGTTTACGTGTGGGCGCTTCTCTGATGGATCCCCTTACTTAATTTTTTCTGTTTACAATATATCAGAATGAATGTACAGTGGACTTTTGTTATCTCATCTTTGTGTTCATTTGAGGAGTTTTGTTTTTCACTTACCTTTTTATTAAAGTGAAATGGGGCAAGCTATAGTTTTTAAATTGGCAAGTTCAAACTGGCAGAGAAATATGTAAAAATATAACAATTGAATAAATCAAAGTAGCACTTCTTGAGATGATAAAAAAATGCAAAGGAGGGTTCCAAAGCAAGTGAATTAAACACAAACTCTGTAACTATCAACACGAAAGCCTGAATTACATTCAATAAAAAAATGCTAAGAGACTAACAGAAAGCCAACTTTGGCTGCATTTATTTGGGAAAAAATATCTTGACTGAACTAAAAATAAGATTCTAGTTTTTTTTTTACACAGATGATTTTAAGTGATTACCTGTCAGGAACTTCACTTTGGGTGAAAACCAGTAAAGTTGATCTGTCATGCAAGTTACGTAGGAAAGCCACATTTACTAGATTATCAAGTTTAATTACAGGTAAATCTGAATATCATCAAATTAACAAAAATAAAACACAACTGAATTCTTGTTTTAGAGTGCCTACAAGAAGCACGTACTGTAAATAATCAAACAAAATAAAATGGTTCCAAATACAGATCCCTGAAGCACCCAACAGGTCAGAGGTACTAACAAGAGGTACCATCATTGGCAGCTGTATAGTACTTTTAGTTGGACAGAAAGAGACATTAAAAATGCACCAGAATAATAACGGCTTGATCAGTAGTGTCAAAACTCTTGTATTTCAGGATTTGCACATTCGTGGTATTTGTTTTGTAAATTTTTACCTCTGCCAAGGAGGTTAAGTTTTCGGTTGCGTATGTCTGTCTGTCTGTCTGTAGACAAAATTACTAAAAACTTGTGGACAGATTTTCATGAAAGTTTTACCACAGGTTGGTATTGGCCAAAGGAAAATTAAATTAAATTTTTGGTGATAATCCGGATCATGATCTGGATCCAGGAATATTTGAAAGGAATCTTCACTATTGCAGGCTAGGGGAAATGGCCTTGGTGGAGGTTTGCGCTCTCAGCATGCTTCTAGTTATTTTTATTTTGAGTATTGCTTCTAATTTACCTTGATTTTTTTTCTTTTTTTAGTGTCGCATGGTGTGCAAGGATGTGCCAGGTGAGACGATGTACGATGTTCTTCATGACATCGAGTACAGAAGAAAATGGGACTCAAATGTGATTGAGACGTTTGATATTGGGAAGCTCACGGTCAACGCAGACGTTGGTTATTACTCATGTATGTTACACACTTGGTTACAGTATGATCGTGTCTGGATGTGTTTCACTAAACAACCTTTTTTTTAATAAATAAAGTTGCACTGTATTATTTTAAAGGGAAGTGTCCAAAACCTCTTCGGAACCGCGATGTCATTACGCTTCGCTCCTGGCTGCCAATCGGAAAAGATTACATCATCATGAACTACTCTGTTAAACATGCCGTGAGTACACACACACGCACACAAGGTGCACACATGTTGTGGCCCTGCTCGTTCACACCATCATATCCTCAGTGTTTATTCAGCGTTGAATGGGAATGCGAATGTGGCATTGTGAAACGTGTTTCATTTTTAAGAGTGTTGTTGGTTGAGCTGAAATGAACGTTGGTTCGGTTATGAAGGATGATGAAGTGTAGTTGTTGAGAGAAGGTGAAACGAAGCACTCTCTAGTCACTTAAATTCCACTTACAGAGAAGCGATCCATCCAGGAAGTGCAGACGCTTTGGCACCAGGCAAAAACAGCTCTGTTCTGGCCTTGATGCTTTTACAGCAGACGTAATACGTGCCAACATGGCTTCTATTTAGCTGTGGAAATCTTAAGTTGATTAAGTTGAACATTGTGTTTTTTAGTTTGGCCTCTGATCATGCTTTGACAGAACTTGTGTGATTTTGTTGCCAAAGAGCAGTAAAACAAACAAGGCGGTTAGAGACCTCGTGAGGACACTTTGAAATCGAGCCCTGAAACCTCTGCTTTCAATGTGCCAGTTTTTCTTTTCTTTTTCTGCTGGGAGATAGGTTATCTCTGTACTCCTCACCTTCCACCAACATTTACGGTTTGTACTGTATGTACCTAAATTAGAATATGTTACTCAGATAGCTGCTGATTGTTTTTAGGTGATGAAATAAATTGATTGGTTTTGTCTGTGGCATGTCCCGTCATGTTTTCTGTCTCTTAATGTTCATTTTTTTCTCGATTTATTTCTATTTGTTTAAAAATCTGCTTCCAGCCCTCTTCTCTCTGTTTTTCTTGTTTTCAGTTTCACTCACTTCTGCTAAGTTTACAAAAGGATAAGTCATTTCATGTGACTCAGCTGTTGAAGGCCTTCTGCATTCCTGCATCATTTACTTTATGGACATAATAGACTAATAGACTGTGTGTGTGTGTGTGTGTGTGTGTGTGTGTGTGTGTGTGTGTGTGTGTGTGTG